CCGCGAGCGACGACGCGGACTTGGTCACGAGTCCTCGAGGGTCGGTGCCGGCGAGCTACAGGACGAGGAACGCGGAGCCGGTACAAGTGCGCTGCGCAAACGCCGATGCGCACAGGTGAAAGAGCCGCCGGTGCGCGCCTGCTGTCGCGCATTCGCGCTCCGCACGCCGATGCGAGCGCATCCTCTTTTGGTAGGAGTGTTTTTCTCTCTTCTCCGCGTTAATCTTACACGAGCGTACCAATCATGAAACGATCGATCTCTCCTCGCGATTTCAGATGTTTATCCTAATTTCTGATACTCGGGGATTCGTGACGTTTCGACGAAACCCGTTACGGTACATCGACGAATGCGTCACGCTATTCACGGAATCTCGTATCCGGCATACGAGGATGATGTCGAAATCGTGTTAAGGTCTGACCAACCGTTCGTTGCGAGATACTTGTCGGACGTTCGATTCGCTGACTCATTATCGGTCAGCGCGTCGACGAACACGGCCGAGCGATTACGATTTTTCTCGGGAGGAGCCAAACTCCGAGGCTTCTCAGAAAATCTCGGCGCGTATCTTTCTGCGGTATGGAACTTCCGCCGAATTTGCCTCCGTCGTTATATTTATTTGCTCTCTTCGAACTTTCGGTACTTCTTTCTGCTTTACGAGCATCGACTTCTCGACGAGGTTCTTCGAAGTCGTAAGATTTCGTCAGTTCCGTTCCTTGTTTGAAGATCCGTCGACGAGCCGTCATATTGCAGATAAAATGGAACAATATGTGACTTTTCTTTGTAAATCGGTGATGTTGGTTATCGGATTAAATTGTAAATTCAAGATAGGCTTTCGCTGGAAACTGTGTTTTCCTCTTTTACTCTTGAATTTTGATAACCCGTACATCGAACTGGTAAAAGTTAATTTATCGAGAAGTGACTTAAGACTTTGTAGCATGACGTAATTTTATAAATGTAATATAAGGAGAGAAAAGTTCCATTTCTGAACATGAAGAAAAACGTATCAAACTTTTAACAAAATGTAGGTATTTATAAATTTATAAGGTAAATGGAAGTTCGATCCACAGTGATAAACTCCGATTTCGAGGTCCGTAATTTCGAGTTACAGGATAAAATGCAATTGGATACACGGCAAATAACTTGAGTTAAGAAAAGTTTTATTTCGACTTCTACTTCCACTGCGCAGCAGGAAGCAGTGAACAAAATTTATCTTATAAAGTTATCGGGATTCAATTGTTTAGCTTAACCAGCTTATCGGAGGTATTTTTATCTCGTTCCTTACTGTGCAACTTCGTGAGAGTTGTAAAAATTGCACAATGGAACTACACTCTTTTATTCTCGTTTATTTATCATTTAATGTAGTTTATATTTGAAAGAAGAATTTTATACCTTTTACAATATCTCATGTAAATGTGTTAGGCAAACTAATTATATAATTATTGCTAATTATATTATATATAACTAACTATATATAATCATTGCTAATTGATTCTAGTTTAAAAGGAGTTTGCACTATGAAGAAAAAAATTCTTACAATAATTTGTTGAAATCATAAAAAATTGCAAAAAGATTAAACTTGTCAAACTGAATATCTTGACCATCAAATATGGTACAAGAATTGTATAATTTGAATCTGTTAAAAAAATAGTAAAAAATAATGTTCGCGTTTTGGTTATTTTATCCGAATACGGGTACTTGAACACGGAGCGTGTTAACACGTGAGAGCTGCATCAGTGAAGCACACGGATGCCGGTCCGTCGACTTCGATTTCATCGTTAATCTCCCGGTCGCATATGAATTGGCTTTCACGGCGTTCAGTAAGCCATTTGACACCTCGAGTGTCCCCAGATATACTCTCGACGCGTGGAAGTTCATCTCGGTCGTGTAGGAGCCATAAAGCAGTCGATAGACCCGGCGACACCCGAGATCTTTCCACCTGGTTTCACCTCGAACGAAATCGGTTCAGCGAACTCCGCCGCGACGTAACATCTAGCTCTCGATCGGTGTCATTGACACTGACATAATAACGCGTGTACCGCCGGTGAAATCTCTCGGGGCGAGGTAAACGTACTCCGGCGGCTAATTGTTTCGCGAGAAAAGATCGAGATCGGGGAAACGAGACGCGGAGAAAGCGAGAACGATAAATAAGAGAGGACAGTGTCGGGTCCGACTCGGTGAACTTGACCTGAATTCACGGACTGGGAGAAAGAATCATCGTCGTGGGCACCGGAGAAAGGAGAGAAAGAGCGGGATGGAGGAAATTACTTTCGATTTCGAGCTCTTAGGATCGGTTACACTTTCTCCCTCGTGTCTACCTCGGCCGCTTCCTTCTTCCTCTTCTGGACATCGTTACGTGACTCTTCCGCGGGTCAAGGCCGAGCTTTCGATGACCGGCCTTGCTGCAAGTTCACGATCGATCGGTTTTGCGACTCACTTTCAACTGGATCGCGGCCAGTTCTCGAAAGAATCCTCGTGTTTTCACTTGAAAACTGGATAACTCTCTTTTAATATAACACAAATATTCTTAGAAGATATAAAAATAATATCTCATAGTCTCCATACAAAATTCAATCCCTGTAAGACTTCATAAGGGTTGGAGTTGAATTTACAAGAAGCTCAAATGTGGTCCACTCTCTTCTAATATAACAAATATTCGTAGCAGATATAAAAATAACATCTCATAGTCTCCATACAAAATTCAATCCCTGTAAAACTTCATAAGGGTTGGAGTTGAATTTACAAGAAGCTCAAATGTAGTCCACTCTCTTCTAATATAACAAATATTCGTAGTAGATATAAAAATAATATCTCACAGTCTCCATACAAGATTCAACCCCTGTAAGACTTCATAAGGGTTGGAGTTGAATTTACAAGAAGCTCAAACGTGGTCCACTCT